CGAATAATTTTTCTTGTTGTTCGAATAATTTTAACTGTACCAGTCTTTTCGAACGTCTCCCAATATTTTATGAACACAAGATTCCTGGAGAGACTCAGCTCACAAACACCAAAAGGTTGTCATTTCAGTCCCTGAGGGAAGACAACTAAACGCAGTACTTTGTCCCAAGGAAGGAAGGCAATTCTCCATAAACTCCGCAGTTCCCTCCTATTTTATCTGCACCATTCTCTGGTTTTTCATCAGTGGCAACCAGGCTCCAAATGATTTGATTGCCACGTGGCTTTAAAAGTCACCAAAATTCGAGAGACAAAAATCCCTTCGGGAGACAGGTGAGCCTTTCGTAGCCGGCTGGAGACCAGTTTGTACACACTGCAAGAGATCTGTATTTTTTTTTTAAGGAAAATAAACTACTTCTCAGGGGCTGAGGGCTTCTTTTCAATGACGGTTCAAATTTAGGCTACCTTTGTCCCCCAAGACAGTAGCGACAACCGATCTCTTTTCTTTAAAATAGGTTAAGAAAAGCAGGACCTTCATTAAAAACTTTTCCACGGTGGAAGCCTCTACAATCAATTACCAAGCATGTAGGAGTAACGACAAGACTTGGATTCTTGGGTTGGGGCATGGAGGGCTGGGTAGGGGTGTGGGCACAGCCAGTTCGAGCTAGTCTCTGGTCTCCGCGTCCTCCTGGTTGGTCTTCTCTTTTGTCCCCAGACAAACGTGGAATCTGAGTCTTCCTCCCCAGAGAGCTCTGGAGAGAGTGAGAATATACATACCCTGCACAAAAGGACTCCCCAAATGACGGAGTGGGGGGGGAGAGGACTGAATGAATGTGAACCTCTGGGCGGCCAAGCAAATCCTTGCTTTATCTAACCCTGAATCTTACACCGAGTGGTTTGGGCTACACGGCTTTTTAAGCTGACTCCGTGGCCTCCCAGAGAACTCAGGGTGGGCGAGGCAAATACAACTTCAAGGTCAAAGCCTTGGCAGGGCAAACAACTGAGCCAAGGCTCCCTCCCTGCGGGGGGGGGGGGCGGAAGGGAGCTGGGTCCTGCGTGAATTCTCGCCTGGTGCGCCCCAAAGGGACCCTCAGAGACGCACTGCACACCCCCAGAGCTGTCGGAAGCGTGCTCACAGGGGGCTCTTCTGTCCTCTCCAGATGCGACCTTCCGAGATGGACTGTTCGAGCCCGCAGAATTCCTAGTCTCAGATCAGCTCTCCTACTAAAGTTGGTGGTATGTTGGCCAAACTTTGTTTCTATAGTTTTAAAAGAATGTTCTAGAATGGATGTGTTGAAACACGCGGGACATCCTTCTCCCACAGAGAGAAAAAACAAAAGATATCCCAAATCCAAGTTTCTCCCGTCCAATCTAAGATAAGCAACAGACCGTGGAACACAGTGATATTCACAACAAGGACGGGCTTCCCATTTTAAAGGTAGATTGTGGTCCGCTCCGATCCTGTGTGGGCTCTTACTTCACATTTCAAGCACCTGCGAGGATGTTCGCTAAGAAAATTATGACCTAAAAATTACTTCGAAGTTGCCTACTCTAATTCCAAAGCGGTGCTGCCGCGGAATATTTTAGAAACCTTCCAAAGTCGTAGGTGTGTGTGCCTCGCAGCCAGAGCAAACCTGAGCTCAGCGGGGCGCAACGTGCTCCGGGGGTGACAGCAGACGCTGCCCGACCCTCTGCTAAAACCACTCCCTCCCCTGCAGGAGAGGGGAAATGCTTCGCTTTCCAGCGGGCTTTGCTGGGCCAGGGACCGTCAGCTGACTGCGGGTCCCCCCGTTGGTGGCCGCCCCCTCCCCACGCTGTGGTCTAAGGAGACCTGACGCCTCTCAACTGCTTTAGTCCCTCAAAGTCCCGCGGAAGCAGGCTTTCCCTTCTAAGTGGTCATCTGTGGGGCAGGAGTCTTCTCCTGGGGTGATCTACTGTCCCAGCTCCTGCAATAAGAAAGCTTTTATTCTGGCCTTTTCCAACACAAGCTTTCTATCAGAAACCCTGACGCAGCCCCGACCGGGCAGAACAAAGTTCAAGCGCACATTCTTCCCCAATCCGTGTCACAACCTCGACCGACCCTGCGGGAAACCAAACTGCAGGGTTCCACGCAAGGGAAGGGAAGGCGCGGAAGCCCGTGACTTAGGATTGGCGATGATTAAACCAGGTAACGAGACGTCGGGCAGATGTGTTTTCATTGCCCTATAAGATAAATGCAGTGTTAAGTGCCTGACTACTTCCCCCGAAGCAATCAGCAAAAGTTTACGAGTGCATAAACCTCAAAGACCATTCCCCGACGTTGTTATAAGGACCGCGTTTAGAGCTTCTATAAATTCTCCGGCCATTTCCCAACGCAAAGTTTCCAGCGCCTGTGAAAGCAGCCTCTTCCTCCGGGAAGACTAGGGAGATTTTGCTCAGTCGTAAAAGAAAGAGGGGGGTTTGCACCGGGCTCAGAGAAATAAAGTTGAGCAAGTTTATTCCAGATGTTTGGACGGGTGGGGTGGAGCGCAGCAGAAAATGCGCGTGCGCCAAGCTGTCCGGGGGGGGGGGGGGAGGGGAGGAGGGGAAGAAGGGACGCTGAGTTACCAGATTGCTGGGGAAACTGGGTGTGGGGGAGGGTCTGGTGTTTGGCTGGGCAAGGCAAGCAGCGCCTTTGCGGTCCTAGCCTTCAAGAGCACAGCCCCTCTGGTGGCTTACCAGCCGCTAAACCTGTCCACCTACCAGGCCCCGGAATAATAGATCCTTCCAAGTGACCACTGTGGGGGCCTAAAGAAAGTTCCAAACCACCTCAGAGATAGGCCGCATGGAGAATGAATCAGATTATTAGGATTCATTGAGTTACCCAGCCCACAAATCCTCAGTCCTCCCATAAGTACTCGGGGATTTGGCATGTTAATATCGCAGGGCACTCAAAACCAACTTACGTCTATCGAATAGGAAACCTGCCTTAAGTATGATCTCAGTGAAAACAAAGCTGTTAAATTGGAGGGGGAAAATATCAACACTAGTGTCCGTATCTTCATAAAGGGAGAGGTTAACAGCCCCTAGGACCCAGGGAGAAAAGGAGGGAGCAAATTGGGAGTGAGGGGCCACCTGCATGCCTTTCAATCCCTAACGACTCCAGGGTAGGACCAGCCTTCCCTGGCAGGCCTGAGTCTCAGGCCCTGGAGCCTCTGCCGGCCCTCCTGCTCTTTCTCAATCACTCAGTTCCAATAGAGCCAAAGGAGCCTTGGTGGGGGAGGTCTACTGCATGTTTTTTTTTTCTGCCCCCTGGAGATTGGATCTCAGGCAATTATTTTTGGAGAGAGAGCTCCGGGTCCCTTTCCAGGTGAAGAGGCAGACATTTTGAGGCAGCCTTCACCCTTTATGAAATAAGGTGCCCAACTGTTCTGATATTACCATTCAAACACAGGTTCTATGGTGAACCTCATTTGTGAATCTATTACAGAGATTAATAGATTATTTCTCCTTTTTCAACTAATTCTCAGTGGGGAAATTTAACCATATGGTAAGGAGAGAATTAGAATTTCATCACATTAGAGCAAAATGTAATGAAAAGAGTCCAACACCTGGGGCCAAGTCTGAAAGCCACAATTAAAAGGTTTTTAATGAAACCAGAGAAACCCCAACCAAACCGCACAGCCTTCCGAAATTCTGCCATGGAGGAAAGAATTACTGGAGGTGTTGGGGAATCGTGTTTTCACTTTTGTCACAAGGATGGAAACCAGCTGCTAAATGACACGTGTTCTCAGCCACCAAGGGCCACACGGACAGTTTTCCATCCAGAAAGGAATACCGGCTTTCATCGTTCTTAACCTTTAATCCTCTAAGAGAAAAGAAACCCAGGCAGGTCCAGATGTCCCTAAACGTCCTCCTGACTGAGATGGTTTGGTTTCTGGCTAAATAAATATGCACAAATGCCCCCACTTGGACTATGAAAGGATTTGACTCTTGCTATTGGCTCTTCCTCGAATCAACTGGATTTTTCGGAAAGTTTGAGATGCCAGTTTCTTCCGTGCAGGAATCGTGTATCTCACAACCATTTATTTGGGAATCCACTGGGGGTTGGGGGGGGGAAGCGCCCGATCCCATTCCTTTCCTTCTTTTTATTTCAAATCAAATGCGCTGCATAAGCAACTTGCTCTTCAGTTCTTTCTTTCCTTTCTTTCTTTCTTTCTTTCTTTCTTTCTTTCTTTCTTTCTTTCTTTCTTTTCTTCCTTTCTTTTCATTTCATTTCATTTTTCTCAGCCGGGTAGGAAATGGGCAGTGGCAGAGTGTGGAAAATGGGCAGGGGTGGGAGGGGGTGGGGAAGGGGAGCGAATTGCTTTGCTCTCTTACCAGCTGAAAAATCTAGAGTAAACGCGGGGGCAAGCCAGCTGGGACACTACTGTTCCCCTTCCCCCACCCCAAGTCCCATCTCCAATCCAGACCCCACGAACAGGGGTGGAGTATAAATTCTCGCCCGGAAGGGTAATTTAGCACAAGCTGAGACAGCAGTGGTGAGGGACGGGGACTGGGGGGTGGGGTGCGGTGGGTGGGGACGTCTGCTTTCCACGGGACTCCCAGGCTTCGCCGCCGATCTCCAATTTGCTGAAGGAGCAAAGAACATCCTCGGCTCTAAGTAGGGCTTTTAGTGTGCTCATTGATGAGTGAAAGTCGCCACACATGTCAAGCTAAAGGCAGTTGTTGGGTTACTAACAGGACCCAGCGCCTTGCAAACATATGCGCTAGGCTGTGTATACAGATGGCAGGCAGAATAATGGAGCAGGCGCCTTTTATAAAGCGCTAGCTGCTGCCTGTCTTCAGACCTGGGAAATGAAACTATTCAGACTCGCGGCCAGATAGCGCCTGCGATTGTTTGTTACCGTTTTAATCCTATTAATTAAAACGTTAACCTGATTGGGTAGAAAGCGCTATCCCAACAGGCAAGTCTTCTTCATAATAACCTACTCAGAGATAATGATGTAAAAGACTCCCCCGTCTGTGGCGGCGGCTGCTTGATGGGTCCGGAAATCTCTTGAAGGTGAATCGGAGCAAGATAAACGGTGCGAAGCGGAGGCGCGCGGCGGGGCTCAGAGCGGCGGCGGCGGCGGCGGCTCCGGCGGCGGCGGCGGCGGCTCCACTCCCTGCGCGCCCACCCTCCCACCATGCGGGGCCGCGGCCCATGGTGAGCCCCAGCAGCCAGCACCATCGGCTGGAGACGAAGAAGAAGAAGAAGAGGAGGCGGCGAGCGCGGGGGAAGGCGAAAAAGAAAAAGAAAGAAGGGGAGAGGGCTGTCGGCAGCCCCGGGACCCACCCGCGCACCAGCTCCCGAGCCCGGCTCGCGCGCGTCTCCGGGACCGCCTGACTCCCGAGCCCGGAGCGGCGGCGGCG